GCCCGCCCCTCCTGCGACCCCCGTGGCTTCCCCGGCTGACCCCTTCATGCCCGCCCCGCCCGCCCCTCCTCCCTGGCCTCAGGCTAATTGGCTGTGACAGCTGGAGCCCTGGGCAGCTGAGCGGTATCACTGCGAATCAGGCAGGCGCTGAGCCCACCAGCCACAAATTACACTGTCACTGCTCCCCGTGTGGCTGCAGACTTCATGTGGGGGTCGGGTGTGGGGTCCTAGCTATTTCCACCTTCCTGCCACCTGATTGGGGGTACACTCTCTTCCTGCACCCCTGTCTCCTCTTCCTTCCAGGTGATGAAGCAGGTTTCCCCCCTCCTGGGTCAGCCTCCCTCTCGGACCCCGCCCAGGCCCTGCCTCCTCCTCCACAACTGCCAAGCCCTCTGAGCACCGGTCCCCACTTCCCAGGCCCTGGCTGCCCCCAACTCCCGGCCAGCCTCCCCTGCCGCCCCAGACTCCCTAATTTAGACTCCCCTGGCCGCCACCCACTCCCAGGGACCCCGGGGATCTGAATACCTCCTCTCAGGGACCCCAGAGTACACTCCTTTTGGAGCTGCCCACCCCCACCTCGAGACACCCCCCAGGAGCCAGGCTCAGCCCGGACCCCACAGACCTCCACCCTTTCCGGCTTGGCCCACAGCCTCAGGCTGTCCCTGCTGACCCACACACTGCACCCCCAAAGTCCACCCTGTGCTGCCCCTCCCTGTGCAACCCCAGGGGTTCCATCATCAAGGTGGAACCCAGACCCTGCATCTACCCCCCCCACTTCCGTACCCCTCCCAGTTCCTGTTAAGAAAGGTCTCCCCCAGGTTCGCCCCATCCACACTCTCCCAGACGGACCACCCCAGTCCTTGTCCTCACCTCAGCCTTTGCTGCCCCCCTGCAACCTGCCAGGACCCTCAGCCTTAGGGAGGTGGGCCCTGTGAGGGTGGAGCCAGGCTGGGCTCAGACCCTGCCCCGCACCCTTGCTGGGCCTCCCCAGCCCTCGCTGGACTCCGTGGCTGGGAAGTGCTGACCAGGCAGCCAGGCCCAGGGACAGCAGCGGCAGGGCTGGTCCAGCTGTGAGACAGCAGGGAGGAGTGGGGGCTGGGCAAGGGAGAGCATGGACCCCACAGGGGCGGTGGCCCTTTCCTGTTCTCCAAATGTCCCCATCGCCTCTGTGGCTGTCTCAAAGCTCCCAGGTGTCTGCTTCCCAGAGTGGCTGGCAGGTGGGGAGACCGAGGCTCCGTGGGGAAAAGGCCAGGCTCTTCCTGACACCCACCCCCTTCCACGTCCCCAAGCTCTGGGCCAGGGATGGCTTTGCCCTTCCTCGAGACCCAGGGTGGAGGTGTTGGGTCCCCAGGCTCCCAGCCATACCCAGAGGCAGGTCAGTGCTGGCCCCAGGCCAAGTCCCTTCGTGACACTGTGACCTGCCACAGGCCTATCTGTTGGACAGGCCCCTTCAGGGTGTCCAGGGCTGAGCCAACGCCCTGCTGAGCCAGTGGAGCCCTCAGCCCCCCACAATTGGCTGGGCTGCTTAGTGATCATTCCAACCAATGGGCGGCTGGGCCTTGCACCCCACATCCGTCCCTGGAAGAGGGCGTGACCCTAGGGAGCCCTCAGCACCCGGCTGTGGAGGATGAGGCCTCCATCCTGGAGGGCATCTTGGTCCCTCACAGCGACTCCAAGAACCAGGGCTGGGAGAGAGGTGGCAAAGACAGGCAGGGTGTGGCTGGGACCCCTCTGCCTGGACAGGGTGGGGTGGGCTGGGCTGAACCAGGCGGACAGCGGCTGAAGACTGCACTTCACTGGAGTGGCCCGTGTCAGGAACCCGCTGTGGCCAGGCGGGCTTGGCAGGAAGGACTGACACAGACAAAACCACGGGGTGAGTGTGCATGTGGGGCAGAGGAGCCACAGGTGTATGTATGGGTGTCAGTCCACCCCCACATGTGCTGGCCAGGTGCACTCATGGCCACAGGTGTGTCTGCTATGTGTGTCCGCGTGGTAGAGTCTGTGTGTGCATGCGTCTGCCCCCACGTGCTGGGCTGTCTGCATGCCTGCGTGCCCATGCCCGTGTGCACATGCCACAGTGTACCCAGCCTTGGGCTGGGGCTGGCCGTGATCTCAGAGCCAGCTCTATAGGAGGCCGGGGAGGGCCCTGCCGACAGCCGCCCACTGTGGGAATCTGGGGGGCCGTGGAGGAGGGGGGCACAAAGACTGGGGCTGCAGGCTGCAGACAGGGCACACGCGGCCCAGCGCCTGGGAATTGCAGGGGAAGGAGGTGAAGCCCAGGCAGGCCCGTTTGCCGTGAGCACCCCCAGCCCAAGCCCTGCGTGTGGCCGATGGGTGCTTAAGGCAGGGGGCCGAAGCCCATCCAGGTAAGCTGCTGGGCACGGGTGAGTGTGGGGGGCTGAGTGTAGCCCGTGTTCCTGGGCACGCATCCAGCATGTGCCGTGGGTGTCCACCCAGGCCCAGGGCCTTGACCCTGGCCCCTTCAGCCTCTCCCTGCTCTCTGGGAAATGGCAGCTCCCACTGGTAGGAGGCGGGGCACAACTCCTGGGGCCACGTATCTGAGCTGCCCTGAGAACTCGTTCTCAGGCTGCATGGCCCTATTTAAGGCAGCTTCAGGCCCCAGGCTCCCGCTTTCACACGGGGCTCTCGTGGGGGCCGCCGCAGGACACTCAGGTGGGTGTCTCCCTCAGGAGCTCTTGGGCCAGGACTATCACCTGGGTCCCTGCTGTGGGCCCCCGGTGGGCATGTGGGATGGGTGGGGTGGTGGTCAGGGTGTGTGAAAGACAAGCCCTATCCTGTGGGCCCAGGCAGCCTCCTCCAGGAAGGCAGAGGACAGCACCTTCGAGGTGCCAGGAGGCCCTGCCTGCTCTGGCTCCAGTGACAAGAGGCGGGGGCACCCAGGCCAGGCACCATCACTGACCTCTGGGAGCATCCAGGTGTGCATGAGGTCAGCTACCTTACAGGACCGGTCAGGGGCTGGGGTCCCAGGAGCTGAGCTGAGGATGCCCCTTCCAGGCGCCCTCCAGCTGCCTTCAGACTCGGGCACCTTGGCGCTGCCTCCACACGCACAGGGACACGTGCTCAGGAGTGCTGTTGGCACTCTAGCTCTGCTGCCCTCCAGGGTCCCAGGCCCAGTGAGGAGGAGCTGAGGGGTCCAATTCCCCGATTCCACGTCCACCCAACCTCCCTCAGCCAGGAACCCCAGAGCTGCCCACCCACCCCAACCCCGCTGCCGGCCCCAGGCAGGCCTGGCTGCAGCAGGGCCTCCGAAGGGTCACGCTGGCCCCAGGGACGCCCTCAGGGCAAACCGAGGCCTCCAGCCAGCCCTTGGAGCTGTGCGGAGCTCTGAGTCGGGGGTGTGCCCTGTGGGTGGTCGCGAGGGCGCCTGCAGCCAAAGGTTCTTTCCACACACGGCCGTCTTGTCTTCCCTCGGGGTTCACCGCTCCCCCAGAATGGTTTTCAGAAAAGCTCTACCTCTGAACACAGGAATAAGCAGACCCCACAGGGGTCCCTTCGTCCCCGTGCTCACCTGCCTGCTGTACCTCGTGTGTGGTGGGGGGGCGGGGAGGGGGACAGATGAAAGAGAAAGACAGAGAAGGAGGAGAGAAAATACAAAAGAGAAAAGTGAATTGAGCCGGAAGGCCCCCAGGGCCGGCGCGCACAGCAGAGGGTCCCTGGGCTCCTCTGAGTCCCAAACCCAGGAAGCCTCCAGCAGCATTCCCAGGCCCCATGCCCCGCGAGGCGCAGTTCTGGCCGCTGAGTGCCGGGCTCCTGGACGCCTGGGGTGGGGATAAGGGGCCGGGAGGGTGACACTTCTCCCTGCTCACCGCCACCACTCCAAAAAGGGCAGCCTCTGAGCCGGGCTGCCGGGAGTCACTGGGCCCTGCAGTTTCTCAGCCAGGAGAAAGGATCTGTACAAAGGGCTCCTCCGGGCAGCGATGGTGAAACTCAGGTGTCCCGTGTCCTCTGCTCTTTACGACTTCGGACTACAAGAACTCAGCCAGCTGATTCCCAATGCAGAATGTGCCCAAGGCTCCCCGCCCCTCCTCGGCGAAGGATGGCCTCTGTGAGCGAAAGCCGGGCCGGGTGGAGCCCCTGGCAACAGAGCCACCCGAGGCGGGCTGGAACCCACTAGTCTCTGCCGGCTTCGTCCCTTCAGCTTTGCTTCGGACCCACATTTCTTTAATTCCCACCAGCACTTTCTACCTCAAGAGACACCGGCCCGGCCAGCTCCCCTGCTAGGGCTCTGCTCAAACTCCCACAGAGACCCAAAGGCAAAGGCGGAGGTGGGCGGGGACCTTCCTCCAGGTCTGTCTGCTTGAAACGACAAAACAACCTCAGGAGACTCACTCGCAGAGAACTCTGTCCCATCCCCAGAAAGAACCTCTGCTTCCCCTAGACGGAAAAGGAGCACAGCCTCCTCCCAAGGAAGGCGAGTCCGGGGAGCCCTCGCAGACCAGAAGCCCTCTCTCAAAATTTGCAAACCAGGGACCCTCGCCTGCCTCTCTTCCGGCGGTGAAGGGAGGGAACCGTCTATGATGCGTCCTGTGGCTGCCCTGGGGCCCTGTGGGTGAGGCTTCTGGGGTGTTGCCTCCTCCCCGGAGACCCCAGTCCATGCCCAGCCAGCAGTTCAGAGGACAGAGGCCAGGCTGCACCTTCAGGTGGGAGAGGAGACGGGCAGGCTCTGAGCGCTGGGGACAGTTCTGGCCAACAGGATGCAGCAGTGCATCTCCCCAAGGACGCCTCCTGCCCCGTGCCCCCAGCCTGCCTCAGTGACTCTCCCCAAAAGTCCCCTGGCCTTCCTCGCTGAGGGCAGTCGCAGAGGGCCCAGGTCTGCAGGGTGTGGGCTGGCTGACGTCGCCTCGCTGCTCAGTGTCTCCCTGGTCCTGCTGTCACCGAGGGCCCACCCGTCACCCAGGGCCAGCACCAAGCCCAGCGCAGGGCCCTCCTCTTCCTTCCATTCGGGTTGAAACACGGCCGACAAACCAGCCAGGCCGCAGTGACTTGGATCTAAACGGGTTTATTTTGTGTATTTTTTTTCTTTTTCTCAGTTTCGTAGCAAATGAAAAAAGAACCGAACGAAAACCAACAACACAACAAAACTTCCAACGAGTTGGCGCGTCTTCCACTCCGAGTGCTCAAGGGCGGGGTGCGGACGGGCTGCAATCCCGGAGAAGGCCCCTGAGGGCCTCAGAAAACTGGGCAGGTCCCAGGGGCCTGGCGAAGCCTACAGGAGCGGGAGCACCCGCCTCCTCGCTCTCTCTCCCCGCTAGTCCAAAAAGTGATGAAGCATTAAAGAAAGACTCCACAAACAAAACGAAACACAATTTAAATTAAAATAAAAACACTTTCTCCACCCGCCCCATGCCAGGAGGCTCTGGCCACAAAGCCTCCTCTTAAAAAAATTTTCTTTTCTGCTAGAAATACTCTGCATTACTTTTTTCTTTCACTTCTCTTGAAGATTAAAATAAGATATATTTTCCCAGGAGTCATAGATACGTTCTGGTGCATAGAGACAGCAGCTCGGGGTCCGGGCCAGCCCCACCCAGCTGAGCACAGGACTCACCCCCCTCCCCCCATGAGCATAGTAGGACAGCAGGCCTGGACACAGCACAGGTGACGTCCCTGGCTTCACCCCCAGGGAACGCCAGTAGCAGGGTCGGGGGCAAGCGGGGAGGGGGCAGGCAGGGGCCGGGCCTCTCCTGGCGAGCGACACATGCTGCGACTCGCGACTGAGGGCGGAGCCGGCTGGGGAAGGAAGGGGCTTCCTCCGAAGTTTTCCTTCGTAATCACCAAGCATAATAAATATAAATACCTCGAAAATAAGACTGATTTTAAAAGGGGGAGGAGGAGTTTAAAAAGGCAGGGAAAGGGAAGCTGAGACGAGAACGGAGGAGGAGGACCGGGGCAGGCAGGGGCTACCCGGGAAGGGACGGACGGTTGCGCAGCCCCTCGGCGGGCAGGGCGACAGTGGGAACGGAGAACCGCGCTCGACATATGTACAACTGGACGCTCGGAAAGAAGTTAGACCTGGCTCAAGTTTCCTTGGAAATCACCGTCCCCCGCGCAACGTCAGGACGGCGACCCGGGCAGACGCGCGCGAACCGGGGCCGGGAGCCAAGGAGCCTCCAGCCCCGCGCCCGCAGACTTCGCAGCGGGGCCAGCACGTCCGGGACCGCGGAGTCCGAGCCCAGCCCCGGGAGGCCTGCGCGAACTTGTCCCCGGCGATGGCGGCGCGGGCTCGGGGTCTGGCGCTTACAGGAAGAAGTCGGGCGCGCCCTTGGCCCCGCCGGGCCCGGCCTGCGGAGGCGAAGGCTCCCGCGGGAAACCAGCCCCGCCCGCGCTCCCGGGGCCGCCCCGGCCCGCCAGCTTCTCGTATTTCTCCTTGTACAGGTCCCGCTCCTTGGCCAGGCGCCCCACCTCCAGCTTCAGCTGCTCCACCTGGCTCTGAAGCTGGCACTTCTCGCTCTCCAGAATGTGCCGCTGCTGCACCCGCTTGAAGCGGCATGACTGCGCGTAGCCGCGGTTCTTGAGCGTGCGCCGCTTCTGCTTGAGCCGGATGACCTCCTCCTTGCTGAAGCCGCGGAGCTGCCGGTTCAGCTCGCGCACAGACATGGACACCAGCTGGTCGTCGGAGAAGCGCTCCTCCAGGCGCACGTGGTGACCCGCGCCGCCGTGGCCGTGGCCGTGGCCCGCGCTGCCGCCGTGGTGGTGGTGGTGGTGGTGGGCGGCATGGTGGTGGTGGGCGGGGTGGTGCGCGCCGTGGTGGTGGCCGGCGCCCATGTCGTCCGCGCCGCCGCCGCCGCCGCCCGCGAAGCCCTGGCCCCGGAAAGCCTCGTAGGCCGCGGCGGCCGCCGGGTGGTGCGCGCCGTGGTGGTGGCCGGCGCCCATGTCGTCCGCGCCGCCGCCGCCGCCGCCCGCGAAGCCCTGGCCCCGGAAAGCCTCGTAGGCCGCGGCGGCCGCCGGGTGGTGCGCGCCGTGGTGCGCGCCGTGGTGGCCGCTGCCGATGAGCGCCTCCACCGCGTCCTCGGGGGTCAGGTTGAGCGCCTCGGGGTTCAGGTGGTGCTGGTAGCCGCTCATCCAGTACAGATCCTCCAGCGCCGGCTTCCCCGACGCGCCCCCGACGGCACCGGGGCCCCCGCTCGGCGGCCCCGGGGCACCCCCGGCCTGAGACGCGCCGCTGCCGCCGCCCGCGCCGCCGCCCCCGCCGCCGCCGGTGCCCGGGCTGGGCGCGCAGAAGCTGGGCGAGGAGGGCACGGAGGAGCAGGGCGTGCTGAGCGGCGTCGAGGACAGCGAGCCGGGCGGCAGGCGGTGGCAGAAGCGCTCGGCCTCGGGCGGCTCCTTCTTCACCTCGAACTTCATCAGGTCGAAGTCGTTGACGTACTCGATGGCCAGCGGGCTGCTGGGCAGCTCGGCGCCCATCGCCAGCTCCGCGGCCATCGCCCGGGGCCCGCGCCCGGCTGCGCCCCGACGGGCGGCGTTGGTGGGGGGGGAGCCGCGGGCCTCTCCCCCCCCTGCTCCCCGCGGGCGGCGGTCCCGGCGGGGGCGGGGGGTCGCCGGCTGGGAGCTGCGGCGCCGAGGGGCGCAGGGAAAAGTTTCACGTGGTTAACTCCGGGGCGGCGCACCGGGGGTGCCGCCGGCCGGGTGTCTCGGGCGGCTCGGGGCCCGCGCTCCCGCCCCCCCTCCCCGCGGCCGCCGCCTCGGGCTGCTCCGCGTCGGCTCCTGCGCCCCACCCGCGCCGCCGGCCGGCCCCGCCTCCCACGGCTGAACGCCGAGCGGCGCGCCCCTTTATAGAGCCGGACGCCGGGGCCCGCCTCCCTGGGAGGGGCGCGCGCCCCCGGGCCAATCGGAGCCCCGGCCCCGCCGCCCTCATTTGCCTATCCCCATGGCAACTCGGAGCCCAGCTGTCAATCTCCTGCGGGAAACAGCTGTGGGAAGGGGTGGGGACCGGCCGCGGGCGGGAGGAGGGGACAGGGCCCTCTGGCGGCCATCACGGGGAACTGCACGGGCAGCGCACTGGGGGCGCGCGGGGTAACCGGGGTCCCCAGGGGCCTCAGCTCCGGGAGCCGGCGGCCGGAGAGTCCGGGGGAGCAGAGCGGGGCCGCGCCCGGGGACCCCCTCGGGGCCTCGACCACCTCGGGCCACGCGGCGGGGCGCCCCCGGCCCCCTGGGTTCGCGGCCCGGCCTGGACTCCGCTGGCGGCGGCGGGACCCCGGGGCTCTGCACACGGGTGACACCGCGCGGCCCGTCAGGGCGCGACGCGCTGGGCCGGTTATTTTTAGCCTGCAGCTCAGCGCGCTCAGGAATTTGGTCAACAAAGTTGCCGGCACCTCCGGGCGCCGGGACACGCGGGGCGGGAGGAGGGGACACGCGCGTGGGGCCTGGGACGGAGCGCCGGCGTGTGGGGGCCCGCGGAGGGCGCAGGACTGTGGGGGTCTCGGAACGACGCGGGTGGGTGAGCGCGGCGGGGGCAGGCCCCTCAGGGCGTTCGGAATCCCGGGCCCCAGCTGCCCACCGGCCGGGCTGGAGGCGCCTGGCTGGGCCAGTAGTGGGACCCGGGTAACAGACGGGAAGGCAGGGATTTCCACCTGGCGGCCTCGCACCTGCTGGGAGGAGACCGCTCAGGGAAACTGGGCAAAGGCGGCCACGATGGGTGGTGGGCCTGTGACCCCAGGTCCCCGAGCCAGCGAGTGGCTGATGGGAGCCGGGCACCAGGTGTTACAGGGCGGGTGACCCGAAGTGGGCCTACTGTTTTCTCTCTCAATTCTCTCCATTGCTGTTCTATGACTTTAACAATTAAGAAAATAAATCTAAAATGTAACCACCTGCATGGAGAAAAAAGTCTGGAAGAGTTGGGCAGAGGCCAGAGGGTGGCCTGGTCCGGGTGCCACGGGTTTTGAACCAGCCTTTCTTTCCCCTCTTTCCCTCTGCAGATGTCTATGATTTTATAGCAAGAAGACCGTCATGCGGTGAGGACGGAACACCTGCTTCCCACGGTGTCCCAGGTGTCCCTGGCCTGCCCTGGCCCTCCCACTCCTCTGGGCAGAGCTGGGACTGCAGATTTGGGAAGGCCAGGCCTTCCTCCCTGTGACAGGGCCAAGGAAACCATGAGACCCGCCTACAGGGACCCTTCTGCCCCGACCCTGTCCCAGCCAGGGCTCTGAGCTCCCTGCCTGCTTCCGCTCGTTCAGGCCTCAATGCTGTAGCCCATCTCCTGTGGCTAACTCACAGCCACCATCCCAGTATCATGAGCCTAAGAAATGAAGGCTCAGAAAAGTGGGCAGACGGCAGAGTCAAGTCCCCATGCCAGGTACCTGGACTCGAGACCACGTGAGCGGTCAGCCAGTCAGGGGTGTGGGGTTTCCTTTATGGCACCCGGCGTTCCAAGGGAGGGAGGCCGGGGAGGGAGACGCCACCGTGCGGTGGAGCTGGTGGTAGTCACGCTGTCTGCACCTGCAGCCCAGCAGGAGTCGTTGGCGCTGGAGGGCCCTTACGCGGCCCTCCTCCGAGGGTGTAGCAGCATTTCTGGGCACCACACCCCGGCGGCCCTGGGCTCACTGGAAAGGGGGCTGAGGAGGGAGAGAGTGTTTGCACCGGGCTGTGCCTCCACTGTCGCTGCCGGCTCCCCGTCACACTGTGGCTCCTGCCAGGCCAAGCAGACCAGGGGAGGGTGTTCGTTCACCAGCCCAGCAGGACTCCAGCACACCCGTGGGAATAAAGGAGGTGCCTGACCCCAGGCCGTTGCAGTGAGAGCCCTCCTAGGGGCCATAGCTCCTGACCTCGGGCAGAGAGATACTGACTGCTGACCCCCCCAGCCAGGCTTGGACTCAGTGGCACAGGAAGCACGAGTGACTCATCTTGCTCTGAGATGGGGCAGAAGCTGGCGGAGGCTGGGGCGGCCTCAAAGATCTGCCCTAACCCGCCCACCCCAACCTCAAGGCCAGGATGGCTGCCTAGAATTCACCTGTGCACGGCTCTTCCCTGGGCTCCCAGGAGAGGCGCTCTCCCTTCCCACCAGCCTCCCAGCCCAAACTTTCAGCATTTGGTGCTCACAGAATTCCACAGGGGCAGCCTGTGTGACTGGGTGACTCAATGCATCCAATGGGCTTCTCTTGAGCAGCTAGTGTACATCAGCCCGTCTGCCCAGGGAGCACACTCCATCAGGGAGGTGGCCAGGGTCGCTTGTTGAGAAGCACCCTGAAGCTTGATAGCACAAGGCAGTAGTATGTCATCCATCGGCTCTGGGGAGATGTGTCCTGGAAATAGAGGTACAAGTGCCTCTGATCCTGACAGTGGGAGGACTTGGGGTCTGGGGTGATGGGACAGCTGACAGATGGTGCCATTGAGCAGCGTCTTCACACCCAGGCCTGGCAGATGGTGGCAGCTGCCTGCCAAAACAGCTGCTTGTGATGCTTCCACAGGGCGGCTCCCCGTGGCTGTCTGGGCTTCCTCACAGCATGGCTGGTGGTTCCCAGTGTCTGTGTCCCAAAGAGGAAGGTGGAGGGACACATGTGCCTCAGAGGCTGCTGCACTGTGTTGGTGGTCCTGGTGTGTAGAGGTCAGCCACCCCCTGGGGCAGGGGCCCCAACACTGTCTGTCTAGGTCATGTGAGGGAGGGGCATGTGGGCTGGGACACACTGTTGCAGTTTCTGGAAAATCCAGTCTCCTGAGTAGGCCTCAGAGAACCGAACATCAGCTATAAAAATGAGTGAAATCATAGCGGATTTGCTTTCTATTGCTGTCTCACAAATTACCTCACGTTTAGAAACTTAACACACATTTATGGTCCCGTGGCTTCTGTGGGCCACGTGTCCAGGCAGGGCTTAGCAGGGGCCCCTTGTCCAGCATGCAGTCTAGGAGGTGGCCGGGCTGCAGTCTCAACGTGGGATGGGGAGGGCTCTGTCACCAGGCACCATCAGGCTGTTGGCAGAATTATTTCCTCAAATCTGTAGAATGAGGCCTGGCTTCTCGCTGGCTGGAGGCCTCTCTGAGCTCCTCACCAGGTGTGGTCCCCAGCACAGGCCCTGCTCCTCGGGCTAGCCAGGAGAGGCTCTCAGCGGGGCATAATGTGCTGTGATCACAGATGTGGCACCCGGCCACCCTCCTGGAGTCTGTTGGTGGAAAGGGGTCACCCAGGGCTATCAACACTAGGGGGTTCACGAGGCCACCTTAGGGCCTGTCCCCCACGCATGCTTGTGAGAAGGTGGAAGGTTGGCTGGGTAGGGAGTGCTAGGTTGGTGGGGCTGGTGGGGCCTCATGGACACCTGAGCAGATGGAGGGGTGAAGCCCTTCAGGCCGGGAGCAGGGAGCCCAGAGCCCCTGCCTGGGAGAGGCATGGAAGGGCCCAAGGTGGCTGGGTCAAGATCTGAGCCTGAGGAGGCTGGTGCCAGGCCCAGGAAGTCATCGTGGGCTCCCAGAGGGCTCTGGGTGGAGGGAAACCTGGTATGAGGAGGGACAGGGAGATTGGGGTGCCCGCCACCTGACCCCTTGGCCCCCTCTGCTGTCCACCGTGGGACCCCATGCAGTCTGCTGTCTGCTGGGGCCCCGAGCTCATGCATTTTACTTTGGGAAGGGGCCAGAAGGGACTGTCCGGCACAGCTCCTCCATCCCTGCCAGAGCACAGCTGCACAGGAGGGCTGAGCTGACCGTGCCAGGCCACACGTGGACCTCCGGAACCCCACCCTGCCGCCACGTGGACCTCCGGAACCCCACCCAGCCGCCGCGTGGACCTCCGGAACCCCACCCTGCCGCCGCGTGGACCTCCGGAACCCCCACCCTGCCACACCAACGGTAAGTGCTCTGTGCAGAGCCTCTCGTAGAGTCTGGAGTGTCATTTTTGTGGCATTTAGGTGGGAAAGCCTGAGCAGGGAGCCACGTGCTACCCATACCCCAGTGCCAGCGTTCCCTGTGTGGAAGTTATCATGGCAGATGGAACCTTCTCTGTCCCACAGACAGAGGCTCAGCGTCTTCTGGGCTAGGGGCCGGCTGGGGCTGCCTCCACCCTCACCCTGCTCCTGCTGCTGGGGAGTGGGGGGCCCTCTTCCACGCAGGGGCTGATTTGCAGTTAAAAAGCAAAACAACCAAAGAAACCAATCCAGGGCCTCCGGAGAGTCCCTCCTCAGCCTGTGCACTGTTCCGCCCCTTCCTTGTGCCCCTACTGAAGCACGGATGGTGCACCTGCTGTATGCCAGGCGCCAGTTAGGGCACTCGCTCCGCCATGAATGAGCACGCCCAAGCTCCCTGCCCTCCTGGAGCTCCCGTGCTGGTGGGCGCTAAGTGAGGCAGGGTCAGCATCCTCAGCTCAGAGGCAGGATGGGCACAGGCCTAGCCCAGGAAGGTGCAGGGGCTCCCAGCTGACCCCCAGACACTCTCCCTTCCATCACCTCCCAGCCCCTAGGGGGGTCCAGGCCAGCATCCGACTGCCCAGCCAGCACCCCTCCAGACACAGGGGGCACAGAGCCACACTCAGAAATCACTGCTGCACCCCCCGCCCACCCATCCACCTCCCCCAGGGGCCATGGACTCTGCCCACGGCTCCCACCTCTGCGGCCATCACATCTCCCTCAGATGAGGCAGCAGCCCTAAGACCCATCTTCTCGGTGCTGGGGGACGCTTTGCCTGCCTGAGACCCAGCCGTGCCCTGCTAGGGCCGAGGATCCCCCCGGGGGATGTGCGCTTCCGCTGTGGGGTCTCTGTCCAGCTGCCCCAGCACACGCCCCTCTGCTGCACACATGGGCTTGGGTGCGGGCTTACCCCCTCTCCTCAGGAGGCCTTCCCTGTTCCAACCACCCCACCAGGGTACAGTCCACTAGGCTGTCCTCAGCTGGGGCCACGGTCAGTGCAAGGACAGGGACTCCCCTAGTTCTGCCCTCCCGGGTGTCTGGGCCAGGTGCCCTGGCAGAGCAGTCACTGGTCTGCTGCCAGCTGCCCCTTGGCATGAGGGTCCTCATGTGATCAAATGGGCACACTTCATCCATGCAGGGGACAAGCAGGGACTAGGGACCAGGCAGAGCCCAGGCTGCACAAGGTCCCCAGGTGGGGGACTGGGACCCCATGGTGGCCCCCCTAAAGGCCGTGTCCAGCCTGTTCTGAGCCTTCCTGCTGGCCACTCCTGGGCAGGGGCTGTGTCTGGGGACAGTGGGCCTAGCCCTGAACTGCCGTCACACCCCCTTGTCCAGGAGCAATGCCTGGGGCCTGCTAGTGGCCGTGCCATGTGGCCGATGGCAGAGCTCACGGTCCCAGGCAGGCACTGACTGGGTGGGCAGGGAGCCTTTTCCCCACCCCCAACCACCCACAAACATTTCATGTTTCAGGGGTCGTGTGCCAGCCCCAGGGTGAGTGGCCGAAGGCAGTGGCACCCATGGGTGGGTCCAGCTGCCCACGGGCCTGCAGCAGACACTGCTGGTGACATGAAGTGAGGTTGGAGGATCAGCCGCCTCGTGTCCACCCGGTGCCTACCCTCGAATCGGGGGTCCCAGAGAGCACAGTCTGAGGTGCAAGCCCATGACCCCATTTATCAAGTGGCCCAGGAGGGAGGCAGGGAGGTGATCTTAAGAGGTGGCCACAGCTTGGGACCCCCAGTCCCACCTGGTGGCCTTTCACAGTGAGCCACAGGGAAGAGGCCCAAGGCTGAGGGGCCCCACAGGCGTAGGAGGCTTGGGCCCATCGGTGGCCCCGACACCTTGCCTCTGCCAGCCCTGGTTCTTTCTGTCCGGCCGGCCTGGGAAGCAGGCCCCGCAGGCCGAGGCTGCTGGTTCTGGTGCCTGCTGCTGCCGGCTGCAATCCGTGTCCCTGGTCTCCCCTCATCAGCCCAGTGCAGGACCCATGGCCCGCTCTGCTCCTGGGGAAAGGAGGAGGGTGTGGCTGAGAGCAGCCGGTCTGCCCACTGCTCCAAGTAGACATGAGGGGCCCTGAGCATGGACACGAGCCCCTGTGTCTGGGAGAGCCAGGCCAGTGCTGGAGGGGACTGAAGCCAGCTGGGCACACCCCACCCACAGCTCTGGCTTCCAGAATCCACTGTCCCACCCAATCCGGCTGCAGCAGGACCAAGGCCACAGGCTGGGGCCCAGGAGCGCAGGGAAGAGGTCATGGCAATGGCCACATGAGAGAAGTGGAAACCGCCGTGTCACCCAGCGCTGGCTCTGGTGGAACTGTCCTGTGAGCCTCGCACGCCTCATGCCCTCTGATGCCAATGTCAGGACGCCCCACTCCAGGGTGGAGGCCAGGACCTTGAGGGAACAGAGCCTTCTCCTCACCCAGAGTGTGGACCAGGCCAAGGGGCCCTGTGGGGTGTGGGGTGGGCAGTGGCACGGCCACCCACTTGGAGCCCAGGTAGGCAGAGGGCACGAGACCTCAGCATCTGACTGCAGGCTGCGCTGTGGGCCCTGAAGGTTGTGGCCTGCCTCGCCCAGGGGCCACCCTCTACTTCTCCGGCAGTGAGGGAAGTGGGAGCAGATCCCCAGAGGAGCCTGTGCCCCTCCAGGCCTTGCCTCTCCCAATCCAGGGTCCCTGACACAACCTCAGCCAGGCCTCCTGGCCAGGCCCCTCCAGCACGGGCACCTGTGCAGGGCGGGGGAGCTGGGAGCCAGCCGAGCTGCCCCACTCACCATGGCCCCAGCCTTTTGCACCCAGGTCCCCAGAGTGGCCCCCAGGCCTTCCCCATCCCAGATGGCACTGGCTCAGGCCTGGGGAGAAGCTCCTTCTGACCTCTAAACTATCCTGGGAGGCAGGAAAGGGGCCCCATGCTCCTGCCCAGAGGGGCGGTGCCAACCACCTGGTGGTGGTGTGGCAGCAGTCAGGACAAGCCAGCCAGTTATGGACAGAACCTTTATTGCTGAACATAAAACACCTGCCTGGGAGGCCTGGCCAGTGGCCTCTTCACTGGGCTCAAGACCTGGGTGGAGAGAGCTGGGGGGCTGCAGGGCCACTGCTGCCAATGGCTGTGGGGAACAGGCCTGGAGGCCACCCCTGCCTGGCACCCTGGAGGGCGATGGGTGGGGACAGGGGCCAGGCCCTGGGCACACACTGGTCATGGAAATTTCCAGGCAGGCAGAACAGTTTCCCTGTGGCCCCAGGTGGGGCATGGTGATGGGCGGCCCTCCTCTGGGGCAAAGTGGCAGACACAGCCTCTTTCCTCTCCAAGGACGGGGGTCTGAGGTAGGTGCAGGCCGGTTCCTGGGGTCCTCACAAACGTGGTTTGATGTGCAGAGGCTTCCCTGTGCAAGAGGACAAAAGTCAGGTGCCAGGAAAGCCCTAGAAGACCCTCCCCCGTCTGCAATGCCCCTGGTCTGGGGCTAAAACAGCAGGGTCTGAGTCTGAGACAGAAGAGCACACAGGCCTCAGGCCTCAGGCCTCAGCTCCCGCCCCCGCTGCCAACGGGTCAGGGTGAGCCACTGCGCCTGCCCGACCATGGTGCAGCCTCAGTCTATGGGGTCGACTGAGGCTTCTGCCTGCAATCCAAGGGTCCTCCTGGCAGGGGCGGTGGTCCTAGTCACAAGGTCTGCAGGTTAAGCCGTCAGTCCCAGCACACACAGCACCAGGCAACCCTACACACTCACACCTGCAGTGAGGCTGCCAGGCCCGTGAGGCGGCCATGCTGCACCTTCCACGTGGAAAGCCAGGGTGCACACAAGCTGTGGCAGGACAGGCAGGGCAGGACAGAGGCCCCAGGGTGAGGCGGGCAGGGCCTGGAGGCAGGCGGTGTGGGAGGGAGCAGTTCCCACAGTGGGGGACCTCGGGGCTCCTGCCCCGTGAGTGCTCACTCACTAGGTGCTGGCACCTCCCCTCCCTCCCCAGATCCCCAGACCACCCCACAGGCACCACGGCGGCCCACTGAACACAGACGCTCCGTGTAGCTGCCCCAGGACTGGCCCTGCCCCGGTGACCCTCTTCAGGGCAGATGAGCCCACTCGCCTGCACACAGCTGTGGGCCCAGGCAGCAGACTACCCGGCTCTGACCTGTCAGCCTGCCCCTGCGGCGGCGCCGGCACTGCAGCCCAGCTTCCTACCCAGAAACCGTCCCAGGCACCTCCACCTGCCCGAGTGCCCGGCCACGGCTGCCTTTTGAGGGCCCGCCCAAGCTGCACATGGGACCCCTCAGCACCCTGCCCACCTCTGCTGGCTCTGGAATTGGCTGCCGGGTTCTTGATCTTAAAAAAAAAATAGAAGAGGTGGCTGCCTGGGGGCCTATCTGCTCCCCCACCCCAGGGAGGCCCACCCAGATGGAGGGAGCGGGTGCCCAGGTCTCGTGGGGTGGGGTCTGGCCACACTCCACGCCCAACGTGGAGGCTGTGAGCAGGAGGCAGCCCCTCCGAGGCAGGCGTTTGAGCGTGCTCAGCGGAGCTGCTGGAGAAGGCTGCAGCAAGCATCTTCCATTAACGTTACGACCGTGAAATATGACAATAAAATGATAGCCGTATGGTCGCAAATTTGCAGCCCGCCGAGCTGCGTGGGGTTTATCGTCACTCAAACGCGCGGAGAGCTGTAAAATGTTTACAGAAAGGGTCGTTTGCAGCCATAAAATCCTCTTTTCTCTCCTAAACAAGGCTGAGTGGAGCCATTTACCAAGCCCCAAATGCTCACTGGGGGAGAGGGAACATCTGTTCTCTCCAGGAGCGCGCCGTGATCTTCCAGAACAAATTAACAGAAATGGGTGCTTTCTAATTAAATCAGCCCTCAGCTGGGGCCGACTGCGCAGCGGCCACCGCCACACTCGCCCTCGGCCGGCCCCGCCCCCCGGGCTGGCAGGTGCACACCTGGCGCCCTCAGGACTCACCCAGGCTCCACCTGGAGATTCTGACGTGGTGGTCTGAGATGGGCATTTAAAACTCCCCTGTGCCCGAGCCAGGCCATGCTGCCTACCTGAGTCCTTGGTCAGGGGGGCCCTGGGGGCCCGGGCCCTGGGCTGGCCTCCTGGGCTCGGCGAGGACTGCAGGGAGATGAAGGAAGGCAGCTTGCAGAGCCTGCTGGAGCGCGCCACCGCTGAGGCGGCCTCCTGGACAGATGGGGCCTCCTGGTCCAAGGAATTGACAGGGGACAGGGAGGAGGGGGAGGAGGAAGAGGAGGAAGGAGAAGAGGAGGAGGAAGCCTTGGAGGACGAGGGAGAGGCCAACACCCCTGGGGAGTGGGGAGGCGCAGCCAGGGCAGTCCCAGTGAGGGCAGAAGAGCTGGGCGTCTGCCTCGTGGGGCGCTGGGCTGCCAAGGGCTTCCTGCAGGGAAGGAAGGGGAAGATGTGTGAGGAGGGGTGATGGGCAGGGGTCCCAGCGACAGGCCACTCATGCTCTCAGCTGCTTCCTGCCTCTGTGGCCCCCTTGAACTCAGGGCAGAGCTGGAGGCACAGGTCAAGCCTGGCCCTTGGCCACAAGGACAGGTCAGGTGTGGGGAAGGCCCCAGCTCCAGACCAAGCCTGCCCTTCACCTCCAGGGCCTTGGCTTCCTGGTCTGCATGGGGGCTGGACGAGGGAGCCCCAGACTCCTCCAGGAGCTGCACCTCCCACCCTCTCCCAGTGAGTAGGTCTCTGTGAAGCCCCACCTTCCTCCATGGGCAAGGGATGCCATTGGCTCTGTCCAGACTTGGAACTCGGGTAGGGGTAGCTCTGGAGGTGGGGCTTGGTTTGGGATTCCTTTCTAGATCTGAAGCCTGAAGAGCTGGAATTGGGGGCAGGGGGACTCACCCAGAGGGCCCTGAGCATTTCCCCAGACAGGGAGGGGCCACCCAGGCTCACATATACAGTGCCCACTGCCCCATCACCTGGGCCCGTGGCTGGCCGAGGCCCTGCTCCTGGCAGCAGTGTCGCTGGGTCCTGGGGCGGGGGACGTGGCTGCCCGCCGGCTGTGGCGTTTCTGGCTGCGGTGGAGCAACTGGCACTGGGTGCCCCGGGGACACGACCCTCTGCGGGCGAAGTCGGGGCACACCAGTGTGTGTTTCTTCTTGCACTGCAGAGAGAAGGGGTGCAGCTAGGTGGGCTGGTTGGAGGCTGCGGCCCTGCACGTGAAGAGCAAGGAGGGCCAGGCCAGCCCCCTGAGCGCCCACAGGCACCACAGGCTCTGCCCAAGTCTTAGGGCCAAAGGTTTCCTTTTGGAAGGTTGAGGCCACCAGGCCAGAGAGGCTCCACGTGGGCCCTCGCCCACCTGTAAGAGGCCCTCAGCAACTGGAGGCCCTGGGCACAGATAGAGCATGGTAGCTCGGGGCCAGCCTGGGGACTCCCAGAGCCTTCAGCCAGGCCATGGCTCAGGGCTCTGCCCGCTACCTCTGCCAGACCCTGGCCCGCCCATCCAGGCAGCCCAGAGGGAGCCCGGGAAGGTGGGTGTGGCTAGAGATGGGGGGGTGGGGGGCCTGAGCTGGGTCAGGGGAGGGGGGCGGGTCAGCCGAGGCCAGGCTGCACTGGGTCAGGGCTGGGCTGGGCACGCGATCCCTAGCACCTGTCAAGCGCTAATTATACCCAAGGGGTGGGGGGCGTGCCAGCCAGCAGGTGCTCTGGGCAGCAACGTGGCCCCAGCTCTCCTTCCAAGCCCACAGGGAAACACGAAGAGGCTGCCCAAGGCTCCAGTGGCTGAGCTCAGCTCAGGGAGCAGCGTGCCCAGCCTGCCCTTCCTCTGCCCACCACTCCTGGCCTTTGCTCTGCAGCCCAGCTGCCTGCCCACCTCGTGCCCAAGGCCTTTCAGGGAGGGTATTCCCTCCCCGCCGCCCTGCAGAGCCCACTGCATGGGGCACCCAAACTGCTCTTCATGGAACCAGCGCAAACTGTGACTAGCTCCCTGCCTGACCCACCAAGAGTGGCTCAAACCTGCCACAGCACTGGAGTGGCCGGAGTGCTTCCAGCTCGTGGGGTGCCACAGCCTTGAACCCATGTCCTCCCAGCCACATGGCCCCTGCTTGCTGGGCCCCTGATCTAAGAATCTGTGATCTTAGGTGCTGCTCCTGTACCTGGGGCTGGCCGTGAGCACCTCCTCAGAGCCGGGCCCCACTGCACCCCATGCCTTCCCTGGCTCCTGTGGTATGGCCCCCACCGCGTCCCCAGGTGGAAGCCAGGCTCAGGCCAGTGTCCACACCCTTACTCGTTCCTGCTACACAGAGTCCGAGCCCCTCTACCCAGGGCCTGGCAGTGCTGTCGACCCCGAGACCCATGGGCTGCTCAGGAGCCTGTGGCTGGAGAGACACTAGGTCCTGCAGGGACCTGAGGGCGAGGCCTCCTGGGGGGCGGGGGCGGTGGCTGTACCTGACAAGGAAAGCCCTGCCCCCAGCACAGGCATCACACGTGGCGCTGGGAGGAGCCTGGGGCATGCGGGTCCATTTTATCAGATGCAGCCACGGCTCCAACACCGGCTGGTGGCAACATTGGATGTGGAGTGCCAGCTGAGTGGCTAGAGGGACCGGCCACACGGCCAGTGTGAGCCGAGGTGTGGGTGTGCTGAGGGGCCAGAGGG